AGGATATAGGAAATGTGAATAGGCCACAACTGTTTAACACACGTTTGGTCAAAGGATCGGCTTCACTTGTATCTGACGAGTTGTTATGTGGTGCTAAGAATAGCAAGCCTCACTAAAGATGCCGACTACGATACTGGCGAAATGTCCGGGAATGTACCAAGTCCCCGATCCGACTCTGGAAATGAGCATGCATATGATCATGCAAATGTGAACAAGTTGCGAAAATAAGGTCAAACGACTTCTATACTACGAAAGGAGACTGAGACCACGCAAAAGTCCACACCATCTTGGTCTTTATATCATGAAATATAGTTAAAATATACTAAACCAACACAAATATGACCAAGTTGGAAAAGAAACTCAAACAATTTTTATTTCATGAAGTTTCGATACCTGCTCTGAGGATGTCTGGTTCAGTACAAACGAAAGCTTAGCACAGTTTCATCTGGATTGAGGGACGGTGAGCCGGTGGACTTCTTCGCACAATTTGACATTCTTCCCAACGCGGCAATCCTCCTTTGGTCTCATGTGAAACCACATCACTGATTGCTTCCAATCAACTTTCCCTACGAAATAGAGATTCACATCACAATATATCACTAAGGCATTCTTAGAAACTCTACTTTTCTTCATATGTTCACGAATATCTATGGCCATTTTGCCAATTTCTATTTAGCCTAAAGTTACAATATTACTTTTGCTTATGTATTGAGCTATTTTTACATATTTTCGATTATAATAATTTTATCGTCTATCACTAATTATTCAGCTTTTAACGAAAAAGCTGCCCATTTTGCCCAAGGCGATTTGTGAGCTGATGGTTTACCTCTCCCCACAACGAGAGAATTTTTTTTGGCTTTGCCTCCGAAAGTATATTTGATCTCGCTTGGGTCTCACCATCCTCACAAACGGGATCCTAAACTTGGCTGTGTGCACTCTGCTTCACAGCCACGGACACCGGAAAATAACAGAATTGTTCGACTTTTGACGAAAAGCCATGCTTGCATGCAAACAATCAAATAAGCGACAATAATTATTCTCGAGTAGAGTAACTTTCAAGAATGTCACTTATCCTTGGATGCAAACTTTCTCATCCGGAATGACATATCCGATGTATCAGTTAATTCCTTTTAACTCGCGCCAACTTTCGGATTGTCTTGCATGATGGCTGCTTTTTGGAAAACGTCCATATTTAGTGCATCTGTCAAAAGAGCTCAGGAGTGGCCAAATCCTCAGATTTGCCTCGATTTTGGAAGTAATGTCTCTGTGAAAAAGCAATTCATGCAACTTATTGTGGTGTTAAGTATTTTTTGGCATTTCCATTTATCTTATTTACTATATTACGAAACTTTCTGTTCTCCAGACTGGCGTCATTTGTGTACTTTTCCACACCAACTTTGTGCAGTTAGGCTTTTCATGAACAGCGATTCTCTGCCAAATCGTCTATTTGGACTGTCCATATTGCATTTGTTGTGTTTTTCATTGCAATCCACAACGCTAATTATTCTCGTTTAGAGCAGTTTTCGAGGCGGGAGCAAAAATATTAATGAGCTCTATTCATCCGAATGAGTTAAGCTGCTAAATGGAATGATTATTGAATGCCTCCGCAATGAAACTAAGAGAATTTAATATGAGATGTATTCACCCAATTTCGTTTAAGGTGATGAATGACTGGTAGAAGAAGAATTTTCCCACA